CGTCGTCGCAACGGGTCCACCGACTCCACCGCTTCCCGCACCGACAAGGCCGCTCCCACCACCCCGCCACTGCCGTTGCATGGCGACCGAAAGCAGTCGGACGCTTCCGTAGCCTCCTCAAGCCACGTCTCCGCAGCTGACACCCAAGCAGCCCAGCCAGCCGGCCGATTCGCGCGCCTCTTTGGACGCAGAAAATCAATCTCGGGCTCAGTGAGCGCATCAACAAACTTTCCTCACCCCATCTCCGAACCCATGCCGCCTCTCAGAGATGCTTCCTCCGCGCTCAACAAGCCTTCGCCGCCGCTCGCCGTCATCTCGGCGGACTGGAAAGATCCTCAGGCCGATCGTCCACCGTCGCCAAAGCAAAAAAGCCATGCTTGCGTCGCTTCCGACCAGGCTGCTCTGATCGCTAGTGCAGACGATCAAGCCAGCACAGGTGCGAACATCGCCAAGACGACCAACGACATCTCGGCTTTTGCCTTTCCCTCTCGCGGTTCAGATGCAGGTGCCTCGGCTCAGCCAGAGCTCAACGTGCCCAACACCCTGCGCCAACGGCAGGCAAAGCACTCGACCAGCCGCTCGCTCCCTCTCGCCACTTTGGCCGCCTCGTCTGCATCCTCGCCCATGCCAACGCCACCGTCTACCGCTTCAGGAGACGCATCCGCTTCCGCGGCTACAGCTGCCCCGCAGCGCCGCCCGAGTCGACTGGGCCGAAGTCTCAGCCACAGAAAGAGCAGCAAGAGCCTCTCGATGATCGGATCCATGTTCGGCAGCGCTGCTCACGCTCACCACGCCTCCTCTTCCCCGCCGCTCCCGCAGTCGGCCGCCGCCCTTGTGCAAGAATCTCCGGCTCCAACCTCGAACCATACGCGCAAGCCTTCACTACGAGGCCTGCTCAAGATGGGTCGAAGCGCAACAGAGCACAACATGCCGCGGCCCTCGACGCCCGAGATCGAGAGCTGGAAGCGCGCCAACGAAGTCGCCTCCAGCCCTTTCGCCGAAACCTGGCGTAGAGGACGAGCGAGCATGGATGCGCCGCGTCGCCCGACGCCTGCCGAGGTGCCCGTCAAAATTACGCGCTCCAAGAGCGTCATTCGCCGCAAACCCGCGCCCGAGGTGAGGCAGGAGGAGATCGACAGCAGCTCAAGCACTCCAGTCCACGGCAGGACTTTCCGCGCCCTCGAGGTCGATCCCACTGCCGCTTCGCCTCTGGGTGGCAGCCTCGCGTCGTCTCCTGCGCAACAGCACGCTGAGCTCGCCAACACGAGTGCAGATTCCAAGTTGAGCGCCAGCTTTGCTTTGGCCACACAGAAGGTCGCTTCCAAGCAGGTCGAGGCCAACTCGAATCGTGGTCTCGGGCTGTTTGTCGATCCGTTTGCCTCGACTCGCAAAGACGCGTCTCTGCCCAGCATCGACGTTCGACCCAGCACGCCCAAGCAGACCGACGCACAGACGGGTCAGCATCAGAACCAGCACAAGCTCGGGGCGACAACGTCGCCATCCAACGCCGACAAGCGCCTGTCGTCGAGCGCGCACAGCGTCACCGACACCTCGTTGTCCGTCGAGCGTCCGTGGTCGCTCATCAGCGCAGGCGACGCGGATACGCCACTGCTCAAGCTGCGCAAGCTCGTCGTCAATACCGAGAGCTCTGATGAGAGCCGCGAGCTCGACGATGTCGACGGCCTCTTCTTCCGACCGCCGCGCAGCAGTGCCAGGGCGGCAGATCAGCCAGACAAGGCTGAGCAGGAGTTCGTCAAGTCCGAGATCGAGGTCGACCAGCCGCGATCCAGCTCCCAGACGACGACGCGATCGGATACCAAGCACGAGATCGCGTCGATCCACTCGTCTGGCTCCAGCACGCTGCGTCCTGTGCGTGATCTCGTCGAGCGCGGGAGCATCTCTGGCCTGTCGGCCGCTTCGGCCACGGTGTCGGATGCTTCGCAGGCCAACACGATCCGCGCCAGCAGCCTTGCTGAGCCCGAGGCTGACTCGGTTGGGCCTCTTCCTGCAAAGAGCCCCGCGGTGTCGCAGCACTCTGGGCGCCGCCAGCACCGCCGCGACGGATCGACGGGCTCGGCGTACAGCCAGGCGACGGTTCAACAGGGCCGAAGGGCCAGCACGGCATCGCGGCTCACGGCGCGCAGCAGCGGCCACTGGAGCGAGAGCCGCGTGTCAGAAGATGCGCTGAGTGCGCTCGAGGCCGAAGTGGGCCAGGCGAGGCGGGCCGAGGTGGTGGCGCTGGGCAAGGGCAGGGTGCGCGACTGGGTGGGCGGCGGAGGTGCCGAGATGCTCCCGACCGCAGACGCTCCGACGCTGTCGCGCACCAACACGCTGCGCAAGAAGCCGCAGCCGGCCGATCGGGCTGCGCCCGTCGAGGCGAGTGCGGCGAAAGTGGACGAGCGCGAGGCGCAGCGCCAAAAGACGCTCAACGACCATCTGAGCCGCAGGCTGCAGCAGCTCTCGGATGAGCAAGATGCGCCGGTCTTGAGCTCGGACGCCGAGATCCGCGACATCCCAGACCTTGACTCGCGCGACGAAGCCACACAGCCCGCCGAGAAGCCGGCGGATGAGCCGCGTTTTGGCGCTCCGCGTTTCGCGAGGCTGTCGGCGTTCCACGATCGAAAGCTGATGCCTGATGTGGAGCGCTCGGCTGCGCCGGCTGGTGTCGCGCCGACAGCGACGACGATCCAGACTGCGGACGAGGCGATTCGGCTCGGGCGGGCACCGTCGAAACGCGTTCGGCGCACGGCCAGCGAGGCCAAGAGCTGCGGAGAGGCTGTGATGGTTTCGCGTGCGCCCGTGGTCAGTTCGGCTCATCGCCGCGCCAGCACCACGTCTGGCGGTTCGGGTATGCTGTCGGCCCGCCACCGTCGACGCACCAACTCGCTCTCGGCCAAGAGGGTAGCGAGCAGTGGCGAGTGGAACCCGACTCTGGTGGCAGAGATGCCGGTCGCGGCTTCGGCGCCGATGGTCGAGTTCACCGGGCTGCCTGCTGCTGTTGCATCGGTGGATTCGCAGCCCGAGCGAGCGGAGGAGGTGCAGGAGAGCGGCGAGAAGAAGCGCACCAAGCAGCGCTCGTACGCTACATCGGAGGAGGCGGCGCGTGCCAGGCAGCAGGAGCTGGTGGAGCGCGAGCAGCGCCAGGCGGACAAGGAGGCGCGTCGCCAGGCGCACCTACAGCACAAGTACGCCAAGAAGAAGCAGAGTGATCCTCTGCTCGCCGCGCGGCTGGCGCTGGCGGGTCTGCAGCCTGTCGAGGCGGTGCCCAGGATGCCATCGACGCAGACCGTGGGCAGGGCGGCGGCGGTCAAGACGACGCTGTTCGGCATGGGTCTGCAGGTTCCCGAGCCGTCGGGTCGACGCAGCTCCCTGGCGGCGAGCGTTTCGTCGTTCCACACTGCGGTGGATGGCATGGGTGGCGAAGTGGCGGCTGTTTCGCCGAAGCTGGGCTCGGGCAGTGGCGAGGTGCGACCGGATACGTCGTACAGCATTGCGTCTTCGCTGGCGGTGGATTTCGAGTTCCCCGTGCCGCCGCAGCGGATGAAGGAGCAGCTTTCGGACGACGGCACGCTGCTTAGCCGGGCCGGGCTGCAGGAGTCGCCTCTGCAACAGCAGTGGCGGGAGCGCCGACACTTTGCGGTGGGCACGCCGCAGGTGCCTACGCCTCCGCGCGACTCGTCGCTGCGCCACCGCCAAGGCTCGAGCCGCAGCAGTCGGATGCCGTCGCCGGTGGAGACGCAGGAGGCGGGCGGGATGAGCGCATCGAGGACCATGCCTAGGCTGAGCGCGGTATCGCCGCTCGAGTCGTTGGGGCAGAACGTGGCGCTGCGACGCTCGCGCTCCGTGGGCTACAACAGCCGCGATCTGAGGAGGATTACGCGCGAGCAGATGGCGCGCGATGCAGAGCGACACCCGAGCCCCAAGAGCCAGCCCAAGCCGTTGCCGGACGGTGGCGAGCAGGGCTTGGGTATCCAGCTGGACGAGGCGGCGCAGCGTCAGCCCATTCTAGCATGATGATCCCACATAGCGGCGGAAGCAATGCAGTCCTTGCGAATCACAGTTTTCAAAGGTGTGAAATTGAGAGTCTAACATCCTGAAGTTGACGAAATGGGAAGGGGGGGGAAAGCGCGCCGAGCCGCGCGTCCATCGTGAGGCGCGGTGAGGCGCGTTGAGGGGAAGAAAGGGCATTCTTCCCACGCCGGCGAAGGATGAAATTTGGGGCACTTTAGCTGAGTCGAAAAAGGCTGGGGTGAGGTGCAGCACCGTTGCAACCAAAATGCCAGTCTTGCACGCGATTCAGGAGCCTCCGTGCAGGCCCTCTTTTTGTGCCCACAGACAGGGAAAGGCCTGCTGGCAGCACGCCCGCTGCGCGTTCTGAAACCAACGCTAGCCCTCTTCGCCTCGCTTCG